AGGGTAAAGATGAGCAAAGGCAGATGGCGGAGCACCGTATGCACGAGAAGAAGGGACACCGCTTGCAGCACGTTCGGTATTAGGCTGTAGTTGTTGCCGTTCAGTAGATAAAAGATCTTGGATAGGAATTTTAGCAGGACCAGTTTGATTTGAGACAGGATCACTTTGAACGTAATCTTGTTTTGGTGGTGGAGGTGGATACGAATGATAATATTCAGGATATGAATACATTGAATGACGTGATGGTGGTATAGGAAGTAAGCCACTCCGATAAGGCGATGATGATGATTCAGAATTATGATCTCTCGGAGATGGGCGTTCACCATAATGTGACCATGGACGTGGAGGAGGATAAGAATTTGATATGTCATATCCATAAGGTCTAGAAGAACTCGAAGATTCATTTGAGGAATGAGATATCCTTTGTGGTGTATCATAATATCCAGGTTGACTTGGATAAATTGGAGGCCTGCCATAAGTTGGTGGATGAGGATATGGATAACGATGATGATCCGCACTGTCTGGTAACGGTGGGGGGTAATAATAAGGATGATAACTATATCTTCTGTCATATAGATCATAATAAGGGGGATAATGTGGATCACTCATATACTCTGGACGGTCATGCCACGGAATAGGTCTATGTGGAGGATACCCAGGTCCATACAAAGGAGCATTATGCTCATAAGGACCGATGTGAGGTAGATGATCATATGGACCTCGAAGATAGGATGAAGATGGACTTTTACTTGAATGGTCTTTTCGTCTTTCAGTTAAATCAGAGGTTCTTTTAGAATGTATCTCATCCGTAGAATGAGTATGGTCTGTTATCTCTAAGTCAGAAGATTCATGGCTATCATTTTCAAATCTGTTATCACGCGAACGTTTCATCCTATTGGCATCAGCACTCTCTATCGGCTCTAATTCTTTTCTTTTAGCTAATCGCCTTTTTATTATTATTATTTGAAAAAAAAAAAAAATGAAAAAAAAAATAGAGGACTATGAGAGCCAGGAATTTTATGGATAAAATATGAAACAGGAAATAAAATAATAACCTTCGTATCCTAATTTCTTTTCTTATTCTGATTTTTAATCCTTGATCAGCAAAAGACCTTGATAGAAACGTAGATTCTATAAGAAAAAAAAAAAAAATAAAGCATGTTAAGAAATGCACAACTTTTAGATAGATTAGATAATAATAGGGATGTTAACAGTCCGGTCTGGTTCAGTCTGGTCAATTTTGGTCAAGTCTAGTCTGGTCTATTATGGTCTTCAGTCTTAAAGACTTTGCTAGTCTAGACCGGTCCAAACCGGTCCAGTCTTAAGACTTAGAGCAGACCAATTTTTTTTAGGTCCAGACCGGTCTTAAGACTAATCGTGATCTATTAGGTCTATTAGTCTAAGACCGGAACACATAACATCCCTAGATATTAACATTATACTAACCTTCCATTCCTGGAAATCTTTTAGCTGAATATACGATAAACACTTCGGAAAATATTGATTTACAGTGATATACTTCACGTCTATAATAGGTATAAATTATAAATATAAATAAATAATTGCACAAAAAAAATAAAGAAATTAAAATTAATACATACTCAATTATTTCGAAGAGACTTAGTTTTAAACGATATGTTCCTTCCATACGTACAGATAAATCGGGAAATACGAAAAATCCAGCATCCGAGTTATCAATATCTTTAAGATGATATAAAGAAGAAACAACAGAACCGGTTGTAGAGCGTGTCTTGCCATCTCGGAGTAAGTGTAATTCTTCGTTTGTGTCAGGAGCCATTAAAGATGCATACATAAAAAAATAAGGATTCTGAAGGAATGAACTTTTGGAAATGAACAATAATAGTTATAAATTGGCACGTGACAGACAACGTGACTAATAAAACCGAAATAGGCACGTACCTTTTCTCGGCTTGTGGCAGGGTAGGATCATGAACTTTTAACTGAATTATTGGAGGTGGATCAATTGGTCGTCTGTCAGCTAAGATAAAAAAAAAATAAAAATTTATGAATTTGCATTTAAAAATAGAATATTGAAAGAAAATAATATCGACAATTTTGGTCATGTGCAATCATGTGATCTTAAGTAAATTAAGCACTGCATAAAAAATAAAAAATAAATTATTATAATAAACAGATACACATGATAACCGAAATCATAAATGATATACGGTCCTATTATTCGGAATCATCTGCAAATGTTGAGATCCTACACGCTAATGCTAATGAATGAAGTTATTGAGTTCTGCTTAAGGCAATTCATGACGCGTAAGCCACTGATCATGACTAGAAACAGATACGATATACTATAATTCAAAAACGATTGAATTCACGCGTCTTATTCGATTGTAGACCAGTGTTAATAAATTCAAGCATAAAATTTCCAAAGATTTTCAAAGATTTTCAAAGATAGATTATCAGTCTTACTCGATAAACATAATACAGTAATTACTGAAAGTGTAGTTGATAAAAATAGAGTATCAAAAAATCACAGTATTGAATGAACTATTCTGCAAAAGTGAGAGTAAAGGTTATGCCTATTATTACCTTTTTCACCGATACCACACATCCTTGATTGCTTTGGTTGTTGACGAAGAATTAATTCATATTGACTAATTTTATCAGAATTGGTTAAATAGAATCAATTGATAAAAAGAGTTATTATCTCATAACGCATATATAGCATTAAATAATTTGTGAAAAAACTTGCAAAAAAATTAGACAAAATAATATACATACATGTCCTGCCTATTTTCCCTACGTTGTCGCACCGGTGCAAATTGATAAGAAACATTTTCATCCATCATTATGTCTGTTCGTACTTATAAATTCTTTAATAATTATTCTACATTTTATCAAGGAAAAGTCGAACAAGTAAAAACAAATGTGAGAAAAGGAAATTTAAGTAAGACATTTTTTTTCGAGGGCAAGAATTACGTTTATGCTTACATATATCTTGCATTCATATAGTGGCGGTCTATTGAATTAAATAATAACAAGAAGAGGATAAGTAGAGGTCGGTTTATAATCAAGATATATATATATAATATTTTATAAAAAAAAAAAAAAAAGAAAAATTCATAAAAGAATATCCGGAAAAAAGACTATTCTAAATTTACAAACCCGGTAGAGTTGAAAAAAGCCGAAAGTGTGTTGGCGTTGGCGTTGGTTTTTTTTTTTTTTTTATTTTTTTTATTTTTTATTTTTTATTTTTTTATATATATATGTATTTTTTAGCAGTAATCTTTTTTGTAACTTAAAAACAAATAATGGTATTGGAAGTGACAGAAAATGGTGCCATATATATAGAAAATTGTGAATTATTATAGATAAGAGGGACGAGTTGAAGGGAACTATTATAACATATTTATGTAACAAAGTAAATGAATAAACCAGGGAACGGGAGCAAATCCGAAAAAAGATACGAATCATATGCGCACCACTAAATTTATTTTGGTTTGACGAAACCAAAGCAAATAGATATAAATATGATATAATGATATATATATGAAAGAATAATTGAAAACGTTTTGACATTAAAATTTTGAGGGTTGGGTTTAATCTTTCAGAATATTAGCTCTAATGTTAACACTAATTCTAAGTTAACACTAAGCACACATTAACTACTTTCGGGCTGATGACAGATAAATAGAGATCAGACCTTGAGCATAAAAGGATAGATGTCACATAAACTTCTAACCAAAAATTACGCCCATTTTTTTTGGTCGAATCCAAAGAAAAAAAAAATTTCACATTTTTCAATTACGAAACGTTGTACGAATAGCCAAGCCCATAACTAGATACGGACTTGCATGCCTCTCATTACTTGTTTATAAAACTTGTTAAAAGAAGGAAGCATTTGGAAAAGAAAAATATGGAGGGTTGCTGAAACAAAGAAATTGTCAACAAAAAAAACCAAAGTTTAATTTTCCCAGGAGCATGGAGATGGTTCTGATTAACACACATTACATAATATATATAATAAAATAAAATTATAATAATGTAAATAAAAATCAAGGAATGGCCTGACCTGATTTCCACGATAATAAACCAAATGGACAGGGATACTGTATTATAAATAATAATAAATATATATATAAAATCTAAAATATAAATAAATATATATATAATATATATATATATATAAAATCTAAAATATAAATAAATATATATATAATATATATATATATACAGTCAGACCTCTCTATAGTCACCTCCTATATAAGCACATTTTCTTTATAAGCATATTTTTTTAAAAAC